TTTCCAACGCTGTAAAGGCACTGAGAATCAATCATTTGATGTTTTTATATTTTTCACCAGAAAAATCAACTCAAGATTTCACCCAGAAGTCAGTTAACCTTAAATCCAAAGTTCACCTCGTTGTGCTCCTTGCTGTCGTCACACAGAGCTTTAATCCTCAACACAGCAGAGCTGATGGAGACACAGACCTCCACCACCGACAGGAGGAGCAGCGTATGGATGATGCTTCTCAGATGAAACTAGAACACAAACAGCTTAATTATCTTCCCTTTATAGAAGAATTGTTTTTTGTTTTTTAAGATTACCTTCTAACGAATGCAAAGCAACATCATATAAGTAAACACTTTATTTCTGAGCATGAGGCTGAGATTATGCCGATGGTCTCCCAGCTTTGCCACTCAGTTAAACCCAGAGGTGTGTAAAGTATTAAGATTTATAACTCCAGTAGAAATATAACTGTTACTGTTTAAAACACTTTTATAAAAGTTAGAGAATCAATTTAAGCTTTTTACTTCAGTAAGAGAGTAAAGGTACCATTTTTATACTACTAAGTATAAAAGTAATGCAGGAAAAAATGTTAAGGACAGAAGCTTCCCTGCTCTACCCTATAAAGGAACCTTTTTCTACAATTCTGGACGATAACTTCCTTAGATTTAATTTTCTTAGTTTTATAACTAATGGCAACAGTGTCAAATTTAATTTTGCATCATCATGAAAAACTATTTTGGTATGTGGTGAACAACAAGTTGGGGCAGCACCGAGTCCAAGAAATTAATTGTCTGGATTAAAAATTTGTTAAACACCAACAGGCGATAATGAAAATGAGCTTAAATGAAACAAAACTAACCAATATATTTTTAAAATGTTAGCAGTAGAAGTAAAAAGTTGTCTAAAAAATAATTACTCCAGTTAAGTATAGATAACCAACATTTCTACTGAAGTAACAGACCAAAGTATTTGTACTTTTTTTTTTTTTTTACTTCGCACCTGTGATTAAACCAAAAAAACTCAACTAAGGGGGGGATTTACCATTAGGCAGGTGCATAGGGCCCCAAGTTCCTGGGGGCCTCATAAAACTCCTTTTACATGTATGGTTAATACAACTATTCCTTATTTCTGCACATTAATTATGTTTTTGATTAAAATCCTTTGGCTAAAATGCCATCAGAACGCTGATAATATTAAGTGTGTCTCAGCCCCCCCCTTCAGTGTCCACCATATTGGATC